AAAAAAAAAAATTTATTTTACCATAACTTTTAGCTCAATTGGTAAGTTTGACATTGACATAATTAAATAGAAAATTTTATGACAATTAAAAAAATTGTATCGTTAAGATCAATATGCAGTCAGAAAATTTTACAATTACTATTTATAGTATATTTATCAGAGTAATCAATATTTTTTTGCATTTTTATGGTAATAGATAACTTAAATAGAAGTAATAGTAATAATTTCCTAGTAACTTTTGTTCTTTGAAAAGATTCTACAATTGAAATATTGAGAACTTAATTAATTTTAATGATTTAATTTAACTAAATGAACCAATCAAAACAAAGTTGTTAAAAAGATTTACTCAATTGAGTGTATTATAAAATTTGATTATATTTGTAAAAATCAATTGTTAATTCAGGAGAAAAAACAATCATTTTTTTTAGAAATGATTTATATAGCAACACGTTAGAAAAAAATTTGAATATTATAGTCTAATAGTAGCACACACAAACAGAGTAATAAAATTATTAAATTACAAAGTAAAATGATTTAATTTTGTAGTTGAAACCTATCATATCAAACTTCATTCGTTAATAAATATTTTGAAAACATTAGAAATTAATGATTTTAATTGTCTTTATGGAGACCATGTAATAACTAACTGTTTAATTGATAAATTAGATTTTTTTTTTTCAAATTTTGAGGGTAATATCTTCAACTAGATACGAATTGTAGTCATTTGACGTATCATTGAAAAAAATAGGTCACGTTAGAGCAGAGAAAATAAATGGTAGTCACAAAAAAATATCTTCTCAGCTTTGCATCGAAGCTAAAACTTAAAGTATAATAAAATAATTTTAATACGAATAAGAAATTTCTTCTTACAAGAGGTGACTAAAGTGGTGGGATCTTTATTGATCTTTATTGAAGTTATTGAATCTAAATGAGATAAAACCCCAGAATTTTAACACAAAAATAGCATATTTTTGAATACGGTAGACATTTTTATCATGAAGACAAATCCAGAGGTCAAATTTTTTTTTTTTTAATTAAAGTATATTACATAAGCTTTAATTTAAGGTATATATCAAAGTGTCAGTATTTCCGGAAAACTTTGAAAAATTAAATTTAAAATATCCTAGTAACAATACGCATGTTTAAAGTTTTGACCCCACTTGTTAAAGGGGTATGATCTGATTTACAAAAAAAACGTGCTAGATGAAAGGAGTATATAAATATTTATTATAAAAAAATAATAATATTGATCCATACACTTTTCAATAAGTTATAGCATTATAAAGTTAAAAAAATAAAAAATAAAATCAAGAATTTTCACATGAAAATAGCATTTAGTAGCCATTTTCACCACGAAGACAAGTCCAGAGGTCAAATTTTTTTTTTTCAAATCAAAGTATATTGCATAAGCTTTAATTTAATATATATATATAAAAGTGTCAGTCTTTCCGGAACATTTTCAAAAGTTAAGTTGAAAAAGTTTCACTTTCTATACGCATTTTAAAAGGTTTGCACCCCCCCCCCTGTATAAAGGGAAAAGGTCTGATTTAAAAAAAAATATGTCGAATGAAAGAGGTTCGTATAAAGTATTTAGAGTTAAAGAATAGAATTTATTCATGCATTTTTTAAAAAGTTATAGCATCATAATGTTAAAAAATGTAAAATATAATATCAAGAATTTTTTCAAAAAATAGCATATACTTGAATACGGTAGTCATTTTCACCATGAAGACAAGTCCAAAGGTAAAATTTTTTTTTTTCAAATCAAAGTATATTACATTAGCTTTAATTTAAGGTATATATAAAAGTGTCAGTCTTTCCGGAACATTTTCAAAAGTTAAGTTGAAAAAGTTAATTTTTTGTAAAAAAGTTACCATTTTGAAACCCTTTCTGTGGGCTGTTAAAGGGTCAAATGTTCACAAAAATAAATCAAATGATAAGTAAATATTTAAGGTATTTATAAAAAAAAAGTTTATATTGATTTGATCATTTTTAAAAAAGTTATGGCACTTTTAAGTAAAAAAAATTGAAAAAATATCGAAAATCAGCGATTTTTAAATTTGTAATTTTTTAGGGATTTCCTCCGTTTGCGGGGAACAAGGGAATTTTTTCAATTTTTGAGGGTAATGTCTTCGACTAGATACGATTTTTGATCTTTTGACATATTGTTCATCAAAATCGGTCCAGCGAGAGCTGAGATTAAGCGTTCATAGACACAAAAAAAAAAAAAAATATAAAAAAAAACACATCATAGTAAAATTAATACCTACTCAGCTTCGCATCGAAGCTAAAAAAAGAAAAAGAGGCATTAAAGACTTAATGACAAACTGATTAGCATCAGCTTTAGATGAGTGTAAGGTTAGTGACAAAGATGCAATACATTTGTAATAATTACAGCCTTCGATGAATAATTTAATATTGATTTAAATGATTATTTGATTAATAATAGTTCGATAAAAAAGAGCCACGAATATTTTCGAATTCAATTAGCCACTGATATTAGAAAAACGTGTTTTTTTTTAAATTTTCCTTATGTAGTACTTCATTGAGATTTAAAAATATTTCCTATTTAAACTGGTATAAAAATGTTAACAGGTTCCAATCATTTTTTACAGCTCCGAATACTGAATAACTTCTTGGAATACCTGAACTTATATCAGAAAAAAATAGTGAGATTACATCTGCTGTTTATGACACTCTAAATGATTGGGAGCTTTTAGAAAAAGTTCAAGCATTTGATACAACGGCATGTAATAGTGGTCGTTTAAACAGTTTTTGTGTATTGTTGGAACAAAAGTTATGTAAATCAATTATATTTTTTGCATGTATAAAAACATTATATGTTTGAGATAATTTTACAAGTTATATTTTCGTACTATATTTTCTACGTCTGATTTAGGTATCAATATTTTTAGAAAAATTTAAAAATGGGTTGAATAAAATTGATAAAACTTTTTGTATATTTTCTAGTAATATTGAGCTTAAAGATACATTACATACACATATTTTAACGTTCTTTGCAAAAACTTTAAATAAAAATCTACCAAGAGATGAGATACTACAGAGAGTTTTAGAAGTTGGTAATTATATTTTTAGGGGGAATACCACTTAAAGGCATTCATTTTTGAAAACCAGGCGCGTATCATTTGGCTATTTATGTTTAAAGCAATTGATTGCCTCAAAGTGTTAATGTCCCAAAAACAATATCATCTCATTCCATTTAAATTAAAATCATTAAAAATAATATATTGTTTTGCTGTGCAATGCTGTGTAAAATATTGGTTTATGACACTAAATGCTATTGCTCCATAAAGTGACATTTAATTTTTAAAAGTACTTGATGAATATAGATCTGAAGATGTGCAAGTAGCTGAATTCACTATAGATTTTTAAACCATTTATGGTACCTTGGAGAGGAAACACGTTATCTATTGTTTATATTTATTTAAATATAAAGAAACGAATGGGCAACCAAATTGTGCAC